TTGGACCACGTTTGTTTCCTTTCGAATCGCTTCTGAAAGCATTAGACTCAAAAGAGACTGAAGAGACTGTTTGGGCTTGCGTTGGAAGTGCTAGCAAAGCATTGCCAAGACATAATATGCTTTGCAAGCACATTTGTTTAGCCGGAGCTCTTGAGGCAATGTTTCTTGTCCTCATGTCCTTGGAGCTTTTGGCTGGGTTCGTGTTTGCAAGAAAGTGTGTTTACCGCTTCAATGATTTCATGGGCTCATTGTCTTCTGGCACCAGCCAACAACTTTTTGGAGCGTTGGCATCGAAGATCATCAGACACAAGCGCATGTATGCACTTGTGCACGACAACTGCAGCATCCTTTCTGTCGATGTGAGAGAAAGGCCAACGGCATCCTGGGTTTTGCTCATGATCCTTAGTCGCCAGTGCAATGGAGAGGATTCAACACCTTCCAAACACATGTTCAACATCAATCAATGTCACTCCTACCTGAACGATAATGAGAAGGGACATCCTAAATCAGGAATAGAAAAACCACAACAAATGAAGTCTGATAGGAAGTTTTGGTTTTGTTTGTCAGACCGCTTACAAATTTATGAGTCATATGAGTGCATGAAGTGATAAAGAGTCTTCATGAGATGGACCCACTCGGGGTTACCAAGGATGGGGGTGGATCTAGCTTACTACTGGGCACACCGGACCCTGCACGGCTTGCATGTTGGCTGGGCTGCTCACAGTGTACATCACTCGGGGGGAAGACTACAATTTAGCGACAGCTTTACGTCAAGGAGCCTTGCAGCCCTTGATGACCTGGGTATTTTCACTGCCCTTGGCGCTTTTCTTCCCAGCCGAGTCGATTTCAGTACACTTGCAACTAAACACGCTATATCAATTTTGGATTCACACAGAGTTGTGTGGCCGACTGGGGCTCCTAGAGTATATTTTGAATACTCCATTTCACCACAGGATGCATCACCGGCCTCCCGGGAATTGCAATTACGCTGGTGTTCTCATCATTTGGGATCGCTTGTTTAGCACCTACCAAACTGAAACTGAGCGCCTGGACTACGTTGGTTTGGCACCTTCTGCTCGCACATTCAATCCTGTGAAGCTCAACTTGCGATACTGGCAAAAAATTACCAAGAGCTTCCGTTGCAATGGTTTTCGGTCGGTTCTTCGCGCATGTTTTATGGTCAGCACCCTGGCAGCATTGGAGAAGAAGGGGTTGGGGAGCATTGCTTGAGCTTTGTGAGGACTCTTAGAGCCAACTAATACTGTAACTAAGCCGGCTTTCGTGTCGGGACATGACCCTAGCACTGTTTGGGAGACATAAATAGGATGTTCAAGGGCTATTAAGCAATGACTGACAAGTCAAGAGATGCAGCCAAACTATCACCATCCATAATACTGTATAATTTACGATATGTATCTATAATTCATTATAATTCCATATGTATATTTATCTTTGGCGTAGCAATGGAAACCGGAAGGAAGGCCGTCACGCTTTGTAAAGAAAGCCTTTTGATTGTTGACTTCAAGTTGGACCAGACCCGTCGGTCCGTCCGGTGTGTTTGTGCCCAAGGAGTTCGGCATGCTTTGGGCTTCTCACCACGGGCTTTAATCGATGGCTTTGAGGAGATGAAAGGTGGGCGTAGCTCTTGGTCCTTGCCAGATGAAGGTAGACCAAAGTACCAGGGCGCAAACCTAGATTGGAGCCGCGCTTGCAATGGGTAGCAAGTACCAAAAAGCTGTAGTTATTTTGATATGTCAGGCAGTGTTTGGAGCTATATATCAAGTTGACTCTCTGTCTATGCTAGTCACCTAGTCGATGTTGAGTTCGGTGTTTGGAGGAGCCCGGAGAAAAAGGACTTTATCATAACCGCACTTCGTAGAGTCAAATTGTATATATATATATTACTACATACGTATATACATAATTCTACACATTGCAGGACTTTCGTAAACTTCTAGCAGCTTAGTAAGGGCTCTGAAGACTCTAAATCTGCCGAAGGTGTGGATCGTGCAAATTTAATCAACTTTCCGAAGAACTGCATAGTAATGGAAGTATACAATAGTATGTAGCATGCATATACATATATATATATATATGTATTGTCATACTGAAGATATACTGTAATTGACTGGGCTGTTTGAGTTGTTCTACCAGGCTTTGCCATGGAACTAAGGACTGGAAAGGCCGCGGCCGTGGGTCTTCTCTTTTGCAGTTTTGTTTGTCTTCAGAAGGCGGAGCGGCATCAGAGCTTTGCTCGGCTCAGCTGCAGTGCCGGAGGAGGGCTGCTTTGTTTGTTCGCTTTGGGCACCTTGGCACTTCTTCGGAAAAGGTAGAAAAATGTAGAAAATGGCTTAGCCAACAACACACATGGGCAGGGCAACCTATATCTTCTACGTTAACGAGCCGTGACACGCTGGAATGTGAAGCGATTGCATCATCTCACAAGTGATTTCAACATGTTTTTAACTAAAGCTTTGAAAGCAGATGAGGCGATCTATTGGACCTGGGGAGTTGGGACAGGTCAATGATTCTGAAGCTGCTGACTGCGGCAAGCTTAATTGTAACCGAGTCCGGCCTCAGTCGCAGGGCCCAGTAGTCATCAGTAGTGTCATCAATATATGCCAGCCAGGTAGTTGTTGCACTGGTAACTCTAATCTGCGATTGAAAGCACCAAAGTGTGTGAACCTACCAAATCAGATCAAAACAGAGTGTCACATTGCAAATCGAGAAATCATGCTTGCAGAGCAGTGTCTCCATCAGCCCATTGTGTTTCATCTTGTCAACCTGATTGTGCAACTGGCTTGTTGGGGAGGCCTTGTTGACCCTTGTTTCAGAATGTGAATATATACGCAATACGCAGCCGTTCTTTCCTCCAAAGTTCAAGGGCTAGCGAGTCTAGCGTGTTTGACAGGGACACAGAGGGCGGTTCTCCTAGAGTCTTGGCTCAAACTTCATTTGCAGATGGGAAGATGTTTTCTCAATGCCTAGGACTCCGGCACGAGCGAATATTTGATTTACCTTGTTTTTGCTTTTCTAAAGGCCTGGATCCGATCAAGCCATGTCACGCGTTCGAATGGACTTAGCTGCACCCGTCCATTCCAACCATACAAATCTATAGAATACACGCACACACACACACATATATACATATAGTTATATATATATTATATACATATACCTATACACACTGTATGTACTGTACTTGTTTCTGTTAATTAAAGATGCGAACAGTTGGAGCTCTGAGGTTGAATGGAGGCAGCGGTGAAATTTTCCAGCTTTTTGCTGAATCCATGGTCCCTCACATTCCCAATGTGGGTGGCTGCTGCCGTTGCAAAGGAGCTGTGCAGCATTGCAGAAAAAATATAGGCAGTTCATGCAGTGGCTTTGCCATGATTTCAGCGCAATTGAATTTTCGGCTCCTTTTAAATTCAATGTGCACACAGGCGAGCCCTTTGGAGCTCAGGGTGGGTCTTGATGACCTCCATGAGAGAGGATGGCAAAAATCGATTTGATCAAATTGACAATCGGAAATTCAATCGAAAGGGATGGAAGCCACTAGTAACAAAGGGCATCGCCACTAGGAATAAGGACGCTATTGCTGTAGTAGCTCCTGGCCTTTCTACTAAAGTAACAAGGGCGCTCTTAGTAGCGAATATAATGTCCTAGGCTAGGGCGGCCAGGGGCTTACTGCCCTTACTATATATACCGCACCCATGTATTTGATGTCAGACCATATCACCATGGCACTTTGCCTTCTTCTTTCTCAACGCTTTCACTGTGCTTTCAACTGTTTACTTTTGATGCCCCTTGCTTTCGTCTCTGACCATTCCACAGCACCCTGCGGACACCATGCGAGCATCCTGTAGCTTGACTTGTGAGTATCATTACTGTAGGATGATAAGTTGGATGCTTGCTTTTAGATTGGAGGCCATCGCTATTAGGTTGGCCATCGCTTCTAGGTTGGAGGCCATAGCCATTAAAAAGAAATAAAACAAGAACGAAGGACACACCTTTTTTTGACAAGGACACCTTCGAAGTGCGGCGCAATGACACAGAATAGGGTGAGCCGCTTGTAGATAGTTCCATTACAACAAAAAAACACATATTATATATATATATATGTACGCAGAGTGTCAGCTGGTGCCAGCATGTTGAGAAACTGCCAGCACTAGCATAGCTTTGAAACCTCGATGGTTGAGACCGACAATTTTAAATTTTGAAGAAGCCCAATTCCTTCAGGAGGCTGCACTCCAAGCAACTGATGTGTGTTGCGGGCTGAGTGAGTCAGTCAGGCAAACTGCAAAACGTTCATAGGAAGCCAGCACAATGCCGGAAGCAGAACTTGTATCGGAAGGGCTGGGAGGGGCCGTGTTACATTTATGTGTTGAAGCTTAGCTTAGGTATAACTTTTGCCTGCCAGCGATTTGATCCATTGCCAAGCCGCACTGGAACAAAGCCTTTGTACAAGAACGTCCTCGATCGAAAGGATTTGCTGGCTGCATGTGGCTTTAAATTCTGCAGTTGCGCTTCCACTCTAGTAGCACATTCTTTTTTGAAAGCAGTTTCTGTCCTGTTTTTGGATGACATGGAGGATTATGCATTCCTGTTGATGAACTCCTTTGTGGAGATGATTTTCTCAAGCCATCTTTGCTACAATGCGTGTTTCGACTGCAACGTTTCAAGTTTGAAGTAAGTCACAGTCTAGTGGTGGTAGGACTCAAGGGGATCTGGCGTTTGTATATGAATAGTAGAAGATAGTAGAAGCATTAAATCATCGCACATGACAGTCTTCAAGTGATGAATTTGACGTGATGCTTGCTTTGACAGGTGGTACTCTTCTTATATTCAACGAAGCTGGCCTTCTTTTGGCATCCTGAACGGTCCTATTGCGCTTTTGCTCCTCGGCATGTCTAACCGTGGTAAACGATGCGGGGTGCTTTGATTCAGAGATGCAGTCGGAGGTGGCGACTTGACTGAGGCTGTTAATTTTGTTCAATGACATGCTGTATGCCCCAGCACACCGACGCTCGGCGGCATGCGGTTGACAATGCAGACACGGGTTGTAGCATGTTGTAGCTCCTTTGAGTTTGTAGCATGACATTCCAGGACTCCTTCACCATCCTGCCGTGTACCCATATATCCATAAGCATCACCACCGCTCCATCTACCCTTCACGTGGAAACATCGATGCTCGGAACGAGCATCCCATCGAACAGATGCCACTTGGCTTAGCCACAGCCCATTCTGCAAAAACAAACGGATACTGCAAGTTCTGTTATATTGTTTATATTTTTGATGGGAATATTGTTTTGAAATGTCTGGAGGGGGGGTTCCAGCCAGTGTCCTGTTTCTGTTGCTGCTTTGCAGGATTGCCATGGCGCTTTGGATGACAGCGATTTACATGGTGGCCTTCAGCACTGGCATGCATGCGGCCACAATCATTGGGCACTTGGCGGTGATGACCATGGGAGCCTCCCTGAACCACGCTGGATTTGACTTGGAGATCCGCTTCCTAGGTGGAGCCCCTAGTAGCTGCTTGTTCCTAGGTGCGCCATACATTCCTTGACTTGAAAATTGTCAGCCAAGCCAGCACAGTATACAGAGGGTTTTGGATCGCGAGGGTTTGAGGCCTTCCTTGGCAGTCTCGGGACATTTGTTCACTGTTTGTTCGTCAGGTCTGAGAGGACGAGTCATTTCAAGCTAACGAACAGACTCATCACAGATTCTCCTGATATATCCTGATATTATTTCCTGAGATGCTATTGTGTTCGAGTCATGATTTCTAGGTGTTGACTGGTATTCGACTGGTGCCCATGAAATGCACCATCGTCGGCCTGATAAGAATTTTGCGCAGTTTACAATGTTCTGGGCAGCCTGGCTGAAGTGGAGTGCACTAAAAGCAAGCTGCTGCGTGAAGGAGGGATGTTGGGCATGCTTTCCGCTCTTAGGACAAGCTCATGGGGACTTACATCCCGTACACCGATGAGCTCTCTGATGCAAACGCGCAGAAAGCGAAGTGACACATATAAACCAGATTATTTGACATGTTGGAGACTTGGTGCTTCATGGGAGCAGACTGCCACGCAAGATTGATTAATGTACCTTCCAACCGGTAGTACCACCCCGTAGCGCCGCAAACAAGTTTGCGTCATCTAACATTGCATTGTTTCTAATAAATAGTAGATGAATGTAGACGATTTATATACTGTATGTGGAAATGCTTCCTGCTCGACCGATGGACGGGGCCTTTGACCAGAATAGAACAAGGATGAACAAGGCAAAGGCTTGACTAGTCTAGCAACCGGTAGTGTGTTGCAAAGGGTGTAGCATGTGCGACAACGCTCAGATGCACTGGCCCTTGCCAGTGCCATAAATTCTGCCCGTTGTGGTACCTCTGTGCTGAAACGCAGAGGCAAAGATCTGCACGTTCCAATACAGTTTGGCCTTTCGCGGCGTTCCTGGACATATTGGAAAACACCCAATTTTGGTGGTTCGAGCAAGGCTGCAATCAGCAGCTTTTTGCCTCAAGCTTTGGCTGTCGCGATATTTTCCCAAGTGATGTGCCGGATCGAAACAGTAATACTCAGTAATCAGATCAGATAGGATTGTTTCCTTGCATTTTTTCCTGCACGAAGACAGCAAGTGTGGAACGGAAAAAAGGCTGTGGCGCTTGCCTGTGCGGATTTTGGCGCGCTATGTATATTATCTAATACGAAGAAGTTAGCTCCAGACTCCAGCCCAGTAGCAGCAGCTTTGGTTCAAGCCTGGTTTTTGGCAGTCGGAGTTGTGTGAAGGTCAGCTATGGCCGCTATGGGCAAGGTTGTAGCTCCCGGGATGTTCTGGTGTGACTACTATAACTTCGGTCACCCCGTTCTTCTCGGGGAGATGTCGCGAGCTTCCTACAGATCTCCCTCACTTGCTATCAGGTGTAGTTCCTGTTCTTCAGCTTCAAAGTGGAAGTGAATATATGTGATTTTGCAGCGCCAGATTGTGAGGAAAGGTAATTAAGCCAGTGGGACCCGGCTTGTCCAGCGATGCCTCGGAAGGAAACATGTCGAACGCGACTTTTGAGAAGGTCCCCATGGCTCCAGGCACAGGAATGGCATGGGCATGGTTCAACAAAAGCTGTGAGCAGCTTCAGCGCCAGCTGAAAGGAATCTTTGGCATGTCCCAAGCGATTGATACCTTACCTTGAGTGGTCATGTTTGGAACTTGTCTCAACATCCACTTGCTTGCCGGCTTGTCCAACTAGGCCTTGGAGCAGCAAACTGCTACCTAGGCCTGAGTTGAAGACTCATGTCCAAGAAGAATTGACCTCGCCCATGCCAGCTAATCCAACTATTGTCCTGCAGATTGTGACCCAACTAACGTGGCGTTCAGGTACGAGTTGCGTGGCGCCAGAGTTGCGGCACAACGCCGCTGACCTTTCGGGGCATCGCTTCGGTTGTCGATTTTGTGCCACGATCGAGTTTCATGCGGCACGGGACACCACGCAGGAACTCGTGGAGGAAGTCTTGAAAGAGGCAGACTTGTGCTACCCGGTACCCATTTGGCCACGTAGCTCAAGCCATCCTGGAGCATAGTAGTCAGAAGCACCACGATGCAGGGGCGGCTGATGCACAAGACAGCCAAGTTGACCGCAGTGCGCCACGAATTGAACCAGACCAAGCATGGAAGCAGGGATCCAGAAAACCATCCAAATGAAGATCTTAAGTCCGAACCGAAGCTCTTCCCGGTGGCAACACAATTACAACATAACTCACCAGGTTCCAGTTTCTTGCATGGATATTGCGTGATCTTGTAAACGCAGTCCGGGTCATTCCGGTATGTCTCGTGGTTGAATTTGCAATTTTTAGCTGGCTGGTCAGAGGGCCGAAATGGCTTTGGACGCCTTTCAAGCATACTTGAGGAAAAACAAGAATACCATGACTCAACTGCTTGGAAAGTAGCATGTTTTTCTTTGATCCGTGTAAAGTCATGTAGAAAGGGGTCGAGCGTGCGCACCGACACAGAGAAGCATCCCCTCCAAAGACTGTGGCAAGTGTGAGGGCAAAGTTTGAAGTGCGCCCGACAAAACAAGAAGCTAGTAGAAACAAGTGCATCGCTTCTAGTAACAAGTGA